TGGGCGTGTATGGCGCCAGATTTACGCCAAAAATCCACACGCTCAAATAACACATACACGCGCAGCTTCATTTAATTCACACGCGCGCAAACTACTCTCCACGCGCACATTTCACACCACACGCGCGCAGACTCAGTACCACGAGCAACAATACGCGCGTGTGTGCGCTCGTGACCTGCCCTCTCCCTTCGCGTGGTCTGTGTTTTGCGTTGAACACTTTTGCCATCTCTTCTACGCGCGCGTGAAATACTTTTGTCGCTTGGGGGCGGGGCCAGTGAAAGGCAAACAGCCCACTGGGTTTCTGGGCGACGTTACAGGCAAGTTGTATGTGCATAGCTGAGTGGCTAAAGAAGGAAGAACACTGGAGCAGACTTTGTGTTTGTGTCCTACTGCCGTACTTTCTGTCAGAATTCCCCTGCCCCAGAAGCAGCAGAGAGGCTGCAAACACAGCAGCCCGTTTCGTTCTGCAGGTCCTTTTAGTTCAACAAGAGACAAAACCAATGTTAAAACAGTACTAGAAATGACAGATACCAAACCTGATTTCAAAGGTTTATATTGAAGGTTTGCAAGCAATATTACAAGATAACGGTCCGCGAACACAAGTCTCGCTTCGCGTTCAGAAAAGGAGTGGCCCCCGGGGACGTCTCACTGCTCCTTGTCAGAAGAAAAAGCAAAAAGTCCCCGTGACCGCTCCTGCACATCTCTTATACTTTACATCCAAGGTCACTTGACATCACAACTGTATGGACCCTATGACTCCTTCTGGCCCACTGCCAACGTTTGCACCTGCTCTGATAACCACTTGTCTCCCTCTTGTCCCCCTCCCATTCTCACACAGACTAACCTTGAACTCACTGCTCTTTGAGATTTACACAAACAAGTGCTAATTTGGCAACAGAAACAATACTAAACTGATTTTAGTTTTAACTGGTGCAGGAGTTAATATTCCAACACTACATTATCTAATAATCAAAAACTCCAATCCATAAGTAATCACTAGGTTACATGATGTCGCTAGATGTAGTTATCATGATCAGTCAAGTTAAAGCAAGCTCAAACAGCTAAAATGCTAACCGGCAGTTAGCATTTTAGCTGTTTTGCTAAGTTAGCTAAGGAGGCTCCTTCGTTTTAGTCTGAGGAGAAACAGCTGTTCATGATTTAGCCTGTGTAGCCTTCTAGTCACAACAAAAGCACATAAATACTTTAGTGCTAAAGTATTCAGCTCTAAAACCACAAAGTGTGTGGTGTTTTTCCTTGATTACAACAACTGGAGAACAAAAGTGATCAACCTGTATACCACTAAAAAGGCAATAATAACTTGAGCTAATGTTGCTTTTTTCCTTTATCAGGAGAACCATAGTCTGTGCCTTGCATCTGTGGAGAGGACTGCTGAGCTGAATGCATGGAGAGACGTGATGTGGATTTATGTTTTCTTTTATTTTGTGCATAACTACTAGTAAAAGTCATCCAGTGGTCCTCCTTGTGTCGTGGTCCTTCTTCAGACAGCGCAGAACATGGAACACAACGCAGATTACACTAATAAAGGGGTTAACAGGTGTGCACCAGGTCAAGACTGTAATTGAACAATAAAAACAAGTTACAACGGTGCCCACACCCGTTACAAGTCCATTTCCTGCCATACAAGAACAGTTTGGGGTAAGGATGTACCCCAAGTCTTTGTGGCCATAGTTACTCCCAGGCATCATAAGGCTTTGACTTAATGCCCACTCTCTGACTGGGGAGCACATCTGCCTCAAAACACGGAACTCAGTACCAGAGTCAAAGTATTTCACATTCTTTACATAACACATAATTGTCTGCATCGATAGATTTATATGATTTAGGTTCTCTTTTGTATAGACACTGGGGGCCTGAGTGAGGTAATTATAGATATTAGGCCAGGTAACTGATGGCCATTTTCTCCTATCTACAACCCACTGTTCTGTGAGAATAGTATTATTATTACATGTTTATTTGACAGGCACAGAACAAAAAGTATTGTTACAGGTAACCAATGCCATGTTCATAGGCCGTATAGCAAACAGCTAATTGGCAGTCGCTAAGGCATAAAAATATTAGAGATTTCAGTTCAGTAGGTAAAATGTTCCAGAGCTGTGGCTCTTTGACTGCAAACGAAGTCTGACCAAATGATGTTTTACATCTTGCCGGTCTGCAGTGTGTGTGGATCAGGAACTGGTGCCCATCGCAGAGGACCAATTTATGAAGATAACCTGCACGATCAGAACTATTCAGGGGTTCTGTGTAGTGTGTAGAGATGATAGCCATCCTAAACTAGCAAACACAATACAGGTACAGAAGCCAATTATGACAGGTTGAAACAGCTTAGCCCCAATTTTAAGTTCATATTAATAAAAATACATGAAATCAAATGAAGTTTACTACTATTTAGCAATGTTAACAATTCAGATATTTAGCTCATTTGTTTCAAAACTTTGTATACACATTTTTGATGTTTGGGTTTATGGACTGACAGATTTATTGCTAGTTAGCATAGACTCATTAGGTCAACCCCCTATAATTATGCAAATAAAAAGCAAACAAATAACTCAGACAATTTTATTAAACTTTGATAACGGTCCTGACATGCTTCTGACAAAGCATTCAGTGTAAACAACGTACAGCGATGACAAAGGTCCCGGGATGTACCTGGCTAGCCTTGCGGCAACATAGGCTGATGACGTTATTAGGAGAGAATATTAAACATTTACGAACTAAACACGTCCTGGTGTAAGCCTATAGGGTGTCCACAACAGTGTACATACCACGTTAAAGACTACAATAGCCAGCCCAGTTAGGGTTATAAAAAAGATATACAGTCTATGGATTAATCATATGCTTTCCATGCATAAGCATTCCATCTCCAAGCTGCAGTGGACTGTATACCTTTCACTAGCCCCGCCCCCAAGCGACAAAAGTATTCACGCGCGTAGAAGACATGGCAAAAGTGTTCAACACGCGCAGAACACAGACCACGAGAAGGGAGAGGGCAGGTCACGAGCGCACACACGCGCGTATTGTGGCTTGTAGTACTGAGTCTGCGCGCGGGTGTAGTGTGAAATATGCTTGTGGAGAGTAGTTTACGCGTGTGAATTACATAAAGCTGTGCGTGTATGTTTTAATTGCGCGTGTGGACTTTTGGCGTAAATCTGGCGCCATAGGCGTGGCCGTGATGTCACATGCAAGGGGTCAATACTCTGGGCCTTAGCAATAGCCCTGCCTGCTACATGGTGCATAGAGAGTTTACACACGGACCAAGAGCCCAAACTAGTCCATCCCAGCTCTGTCTATACTGACTGTGAGGTCACTCTCAGCTTCCACTGGATTGGTCAGGGGGGTCAGCCAGGACCAAGCCAGCCCCCATGGAGGTGGGCATGGACATCAGATGAGGCGGAAAATCCATCTCAAGGCCACCAACAACACCATGAACGACACTGAGGTTAAAATTGTGGCTCGAGACAAAAAGGGGTGAGAAGGGGTGGTTTGAGAAAGGGGTGAAAGACATCCTAAAAACAACGCCCTCACAATAGATAAGGTCGGTGACATGCTAATGAGTTAGAATGGTTAGCAGTCCTTATATGTGTTAATGAGTTAGCCTCAGGATCAGCAGGTGTCTAACCACTCCCACAGGTTATAAATCTCCAACTCGCACCTGAGCTTTCATTCCCTTGAGAAAGTTCTGTGGATTAAGAACGAAGCATCTGGAAAACCTGGTAACTGAAGGACAGATGATGGGTGACCAACCTTCCTTCGTTTTGTATAATCCCTTTACGACTTAGAGCTGTACCACTCGGAGCTTACACAAACTCATACCAACAATATTGTCAGCTACTTTTAGAAATACGTATTTATTTGTTTTGTTTGTATGAATGGATGTGATTCTGCTGCTGCTGGACACCTGGATTTCTCCTATGGGTATCAATAAACTATCTATCTTTTGAATATTACCCATGTTAATACCAATTACCAATACCCTTCATCGGACATGAAGCAAAGCAGGCTACACACCTGTATATATACACAGTAATGACAGGTTGCTTCATGTCTGATGAAGGGAATTGACCCGAAACGTCACATTGTGTGGTGAGAATTAAAATCTCTTGGGAGCAAAAGCTGTGCAGAGTCATCTCCATTTTTACAATGATCTTTTTTCGACTTTTTTGCACCCTACTTAGAATTGGATGTTCGCGTCAATCTGACTCTTGCTCTGCTTTGAGTCTCTTCCAGCTCCCAGCTCTGTCTCGTGTTCAGACAGAGGCAGGAGCAGCAGAGCCTCGTAAACGACTGGTGTGTGATCAAAGAGTGGAGGTGCTTTACAGACTTCTTACACACATGGCCTTTGAAGAGCCTGGAGGTTCCTATTGGAGGCCGGGTTTGGAACCACACATCAGAATCAGAATCAGAATCAGAATCATTTTTATTGCCACGTGAGTAACAAAGTTATCACTTGGAAATTGTCTTGGCAGAGAGCGTGCCACTTTGCCATTTGCGGCGCTGTGTGCAGCAAGAAACAGCAGAGAGCAATAACATACAGTTCACAGACAATTGGATAGACACATTGTGCTTTTTATAAACCACGGATTTTTTTCTCGGGATGAGCACCTCCGGCGGCCGGCCCAATGTAGCTGTCAGAGGGGGGCGGGATCAGGGAGGGGGTGAGTAGGAAAACAATAAGGAATGGAGGGGAGGGAGGGAGCAAGATGGATAGGTAGAGGAAGGCGGGGGTGAGGGATCCTTGCTGGAGACTGAAATAGTGTGAGTTGTTGTAGATTGTGGGACCTTGTTTATGGCCTTGGTCGAGGAATGTGAGATAAGAGTGGAGAGAAGACACAGCAGGAGAAACACACATCGCCTCAGGGGGACAATATTATATGCAATGTAGCATCAAAAGCAGGCAGATATTCTATTAATTCCAATTAAACCGAATTACGGCGCCCTCAGACCTCCGTACACAGGGGCAAATCCAAGCCGGGTCAGAGAGTTCAAGCCTGACAAACAATGTCATTCAATCTCAAATGCCTTGGAATAGCCTGGAGGTTCCTATTGGAGGCCGGGTTTGGAACCACACATGGCCTTTGAAGAGCCTGGAGGTTCCTATTGGAGGCCGGGTTTGGAACCACACATGGCCTTTGAAGAGCCTGGAGGTTCCTATTGGAGGCCGGGTTTGGAACCACACATGGCCTTGGAAGAGCCTGGAGGTTCCTATTGGAGGCCGGGTTTGGAACCACACATGGCCTTTGAAAAGCCTGGAGGTTCCTATTGGAGGCCGGGTTTGGAACCACACATGGCCTTTGAAAAGCCTGGAGGTTCCTATTGGAGGCCGGGTTTGGAACCACACATGGCCTTTGAAGAGCCTGGAGGTTCCTATTGGAGGCCGGGTTTGGAACCACACATGGCCTTTGAAGAGCCTGGAGGTTCCTATTGGAGGCCGGGTTTGGAACCACGCAGTGAACCTGGTTTTGATGGACCACCAGTCTTCGTTTTACAATGAGCCCAGTTCGCTTTGTGGCAGAAACAGCGTGTTTGTTCTTGGCTACTGAACTTAACTGTGTATCACCTGCACTAGATACACACAGTCTTATACTTGCTCCTTATTCTGCTAAAGTCAGGGGTTTTTGTGCTTTAGTCTTGCTTCTTCATCATGTTAAAGTTGGAGTTTTTAAGAATTCTTTCCTTATGTTCAAGATTTTATCCTGCTTTTTCTATGCTAAAGTGAGATATTTTATTTTATTTTGGTAGAGTTATTATTAATGTATCTTGTGCTGTGTGCTCCTCATGCCTGCTTTTCTGTAACCTATGATGCAACACTGACATTTCTCCATTGCGGGACAAATAAAAATGTGCTCGGTTTTGTAAAATTCTCTGTTGTTTTCAGCGAATATCTGCCAGAGGAAAAGCTTTTACGTTTAACCAAGAGAGTCAACAAGAGAATGGTTTGGCCCATGTGGAATCTTCTGAATATTTCATGTGTTTTTGTCGTCTAATAAAAGCCTGAGGCAAAGGAGGAGCTGCAGAGATTTTGCACAGCTGTAGGGCCACTCTGCTCCGGGCCGCTCTGCTCCGGGCCGCTCTGCTCCGGGCCGCTCTGCTCCGGGCCGCTCTGCTCCGGAGCCGCTCTGCTCCGGGCCGCTCTGCTCCGGGCCGCTCTGCTCCGGGCCGCTCTGCTCCGGGCCGCTCTGCTCCGGGCCGCTCTGCTCCGGGCCGCTCTGCTCCGGGCCACTCTGCTCCGGGCCACTCTGCTCTGGGCCACTCTGCTCCGGGCCACTCTGCTCCGGGCCACTCTGCTCTGAGCCGCTCTGCTCCGAGCCGCTCTGCTCCGGGCCACTCTGCTCTGAGCCGCTCTGCTCTGGGCCGCTCTGCTCTGGGCCACTCTGCTCCGAGCCGCTCTGCTCTGGGCCACTCTGCTCCGAGCCGCTCTGCTCTGGGCCACTCTGCTCCGGGCCACTCTGCTCTGGGCCACTCTGCTCCGAGCCGCTCTGCTCTGGGCCACTCTGCTCCGGGCCACTCTGCTCCGGGCCACTCTGCCTCTGAGCCGCTCTGCTCTGGGCTGCTCTGCTCTGGGCCACTCTGCTCCGAGCCGCTCTGCTCTGGGCCACTCTGCTCCGGGCCGCTCTGCTCCGGGCCACTCTGCTCCGGGCCACTCTGCTCCGGGCCACTCTGCTCTGAGCCGCTCTGCTCCGAGCCGCTCTGCTCCGGGCCACTCTGCTCTGAGCCGCTCTGCTCTGCGCCACTCTGCTCCGAGCCGCTCTGCTCTGGGCCACTCTGCTCCGAGCCGCTCTGCTCTGGGCCACTCTGCTCCGGGCCACTCTGCTCTGGGCCACTCTGCTCCGAGCCGCTCTGCTCTGGGCCACTCTGCTCCGGGCCACTCTGCTCTGGGCCACTCTGCTCCGAGCCGCTCTGCTCTGGGCCACTCTGCTCCGTAGCTTTGCAGGCTAAAGTATCAAACTAATCTCTGTCTGATTGTGTGGTTTTGTTCAGCGGTAAAACTGTGGAACCAGCGTTAACAATTCTCCAAAGGGACAAAGCCTTTTAGTCTTATTTCAAAAACTTCATTCCAAGGAAGACATTTATTGCATCGTTTAACAACAAGATCATTTTGCTTTTGTCCCATTGGTCAATCTTGTTTTAAGGCCCAGTCAAAATGTGGTCAAAATAAGCATTCATCACTTTTTACAGTGCACTGCATTGAACCAGAAAACAATTAAGATTATTATAGATTATTATAGATTATTATAGTGTGTATTTAAGAGCGTGTCAAGGTTACTGTCCATATCTGCTGTAGGCAAGGCAAGTTTATTAGTATAGCACAGTACATACACATTAGTACATCTTTTAAAAACCCCTTGGCAAATCTTGTTTTAAGACAGTCAAAAACATGCTCTAGTTAAGACATATTTTGCCAAATTTGAGCAATTTCTGACTTTTTGCAGTGTACAATAGGGCTGACAGGAGGTTGACTCTTTCAGCGCCACAGGTTTAGTCCTAAAGCGCCCGATCTTCATTTCAAAAGGCTATAACTTAAAAACAAAAAGAGAGAGAGGCTTTCTGTAAATCAGAGAAACGTTAAGGATGGCCCAAAGTTTATGCACAGAATAAACTTGCCCGTCTATTTAGCATGTTATGGCGCGATACAGCAGCGGCAATCATGAATTTTGGATGTTTTAACAGACCGTAACCCTTTGATGTTCACTCCATGAAGAAAGCATGTTTCTTTGGTTTGATTAGTATTTTATGTTTTACCCCCAGTTTTTTCATATTCTAGACCTTTACCAAGCTTCAAGTAGATATAGTGACTCAAAAAGTGACGGAAAAGGGCTGTTAAAGGGTGAAATATTAGGAAAGGATCTGGTTTGTGTAATCTCCTGTTACAGACTGTGGTTGAATTCATATTATTCAAGCTTTTACCCGGATCCACGGCTTTCGCAGTTATGTGCAGGTGTTTTAAAGGCCATGCTCATGAAATATGCCCTGCATGTGTTGCATTTCTCCGTTCTGCAGTTTCTTGCATTTCGTCAGTACAGTCCACACCTGTAAACAACTTTCATGTTTGATAAATCTCTGTCCTGTCTAACATTGTCCACACATCTACCGCATGCTTTTCCTGGGGAATGCGTGTAACCTCTGTCCTTGATTTCCATAGGTTGTATCTTTCATATGCCTTTTATTCTCTGGTTGCTGCTGTAGCTGTCAGTCTGTTATAATCTGCTGTGGTATGCATCACTGTGTCTGCGTCTGTAAGGCTGCAGTGGCTTGGATTACCCACTAAAACAACATTTCTGCTTGATCACTTTTATTGGCTTTTGGTTCAGTTTTTTTAATATCTTTAACTAATTTCCTTAATCGTGAACAAAACTATCATCAGTTTTGCGGGCTGTTTTTCTTCCTAAGCTAGCTTTCTTAATAGTACAATATGACCTAACAAAAGCTGGCGCAGTCAGTATCAAATTCAGAATGTGTTTTTTCCCTTCTCAGCCTGTCGGTAGTTCCCTGTGCATTCGGGATTGAAAATTTTTTTGATAAATTCATAGGTGGGGTGGACTCTCTTGGATTTACAATGCATCTAAATCTCTTATTTTTTCTATGCTTCATGGCCTCGGCTGTCTCTCCAGCTGCACTTCTTGATTTTGGTTTCCATAGCATTCATGGGCACAGGAAATACACGTTTCACATGTTTTCCATCACTGCTGAATCACATGCTTCCACTGAACAGCTGTTTTGTGGCTCGTAACTGCAACATTTTTCAAATCCTGTGGACATGATTGTAGATGGAAACCGAGTAACGGTAGTGAGGTTTCATTTTAGGGTTAAATTTTTGAGCAGGATAGTGGTTCCAGGCATTGACAACAAACATGCTATGCCCCATTTGCCTTGGGTATTTCATTCTCATTTTTTAGAGGTTTTTCCCAACATTTTTTCAAGTTTTAGTGAGCGGTTTACATGGCATGATCTCTCTGACGGCATAGTCGTCGATACTCACAATTGGGGACACATCGACACATATTCTCATTGTCTGCCGCCTAGCTTTCATCTTGTTCTGTGCCTTTCTGGTTGATATTTAATTTTCCCCACTCGTACGTCGTCTTCTGAGTGTTTCAGTGTTACAAAACGACAATTCTGAGCCGGTCATCAATAATCTTCGTCTGCGAGCTTGATTCCTGCATCTATAGTCTGATTAGATCGGTAAAATAACGATGGAGTCTGTCTTTTATAACTGTTAGCGGCGGTCTGAAAGCTGATTCTTAAATCTCTACTTCTTCCTAGCCCCTTGAGTGCTGGTACACTCCTTTCTGGGCCCTCTCTGACTGCCGCACCCCCTCTTTTGTTCTCTGGGCTGTCACTCCTCCCCGTCCCCTCTGCTCTCTTCAGCTCTGCTCCTGTCTCTGCCCTGGGAAGTAATCTCGTTCCAATTTTGGGACTGAAGGACTAATAAAGTTGTTTCATTAATAACCATTGGCTACATGATTTTCCCCTTAGTCCATGGGGTTTGCATGCAAGTGAGCATGGGCACTCCCTGAATCGTGTGGTTTTTCTTAGATCACCTTTCGTCTTGTCAATGTGTCTATTAAATGTCTTTTCAGCCTCTTGTGCACATTTCTCCAAACCTGATCAATGTGTTTCTGAAGCAGGGGTGTAAAGTCTGAGCTGTACCTCACGTACCTGCATGAGCGCCTCTTGGGAGTATTTTTGACCATTACTCCTATCCTGTGCTAGTCACGGTACATTTGATTGGCTCTTCAAATGTATTCAATGAGCTTTGTTGAGAATCTTTAACTTTTCACTATTTATGTTAAATCTGGATTACAAATGGAGCATACGGTGGAGGGGAAAGAATCAGGAACGCGTACTTTGCAATTTGGCCACGCAAGTCATCCATTTCTTCATTTAGTTTGATCATCATTTGAAACAGGGTAACCTCTTCTGTCCATTCTTTTGAATTTGTCTTATTTTCTAAAGGCTTCTTCTTTGCATGGAGAACGTTTCTCCATAAATATATTCTCTTTGTTGTTTCCATTAACCCTGTCACTTGGAGGGTGTATTATGACTTAGCTAAAATAACATCTTTCTTTTTTGAATTTTTAACCATGTTTTAAGCTTCCTTGTTGTTGTATTGATTTTAAATCTCTGTGTCCCTCTAAATACTGTATAATCCCCTTTATCACACTCATCTAATGTTACAGATGCCATGCTTTTCTTCCGTCTAGATTAACATGCCTTGTGTTATCAATATCAATGTAATCAATCAGCAATTGGCGTGCGTAATACTTAGAGCCGTCTGTTCGTGGGTAGTATCTCCCCGTTCGACCACAAAATGTGGTGGGGGAATGTACGGCACGATATCGTTGACACCGTCCACGCGACCCAAATTACTGCGTTCACTGTGGTCGTGTGTGCAAATGGTCACTTCAGCAGACGACATCAATCACTCATTAACACCAAAGAAGAAAATTTAAAAAGTGAGAAAAGTTAGGGACACATGTCCCTGTCCTTTCCTTTTTTCAATTAATTAATACACACAGTTTTCTCTTCAAACTATGTAAATCACTGAGATTACACACAGTTCACTCCTTTTAAACTCATAAATCACTGTAGATCCTCACACAGTCCTTTTAGCGTTGGACTATATTCACGAAGTTTAATAACGTTTTTTTTTTTTTTTTTTTTAGTTCCCTTCTTCTTAAGTCTACTTAGACTATAGAATACTTTTATCACAATAAATAATAAAATACTTGCAGCAAATCCTTTCAATATTTACCCTACTTTTGTTTGTTTGTTTTTTTATTTTTTAGGTCTACTGGTCGGTGAAAGGAAAGAATTAATTTGTTGGTAACATTCTTACCGTTTCTATCTTTGGCGCCATATTAATCTTTTCTCTGAAGGTCCTTGTGTCTCTGTCGAAATCCTGTTCGTGACGCCAAGAATTCTGCAGTAATTTGTCAGAATTCCCCCGCCCAGAAGCAGCACGAGAGGCTGCAAACACTGCCCTTCGTTCTGCAGGTCCTTTGTGTTCAAAAAGGTAGACAAAATCCATTTGTGTAAAAACAGTAATTAGAAATGAAGATACCAAACCCTGATTTCAAAGGTTATATTGAAGATTTTGCAAGCAATAATTACTAAGATAAGGTCTGCGAACACACGTATCGCTTCGCGTTCAGATAAGGAGTGGCCCGGGGCGTCTTTCACCTCCTGGTCAGAAGAAATAGAAAAAAAAGCCACGTGCCTCCTCTGTACTCATCTTTTATACTGTACATCCAAGGTCACTGACTTCACAGATTAGTGGACTCTATGACTCCTTATGGCCAGTGCCAAAGCCAGCACTGCTCTGATAACAAAACAGTTGTTTTTCTCACTTTTCATAAGGACTAACCTTGAAACTACACTGTCTTTGGATATAAACAAACAAGTGCCTATTTGGCAACTGAAACCAATACTAAACTGATTTTAATTTTAACTGGTCCAGGAGTTCAATTATTCCTTCACCAACCGGCCCTAACCATACATAAAACCCCTCCACCCCCTCGTTCAACACCCAAAAGCCACCCGCCTCTCCATCCTCCTCCCCCGCCTTCCCCTACCCCTCTTTTCTCTAAACACTAGGATGCACAGGGTCTCTGCTTCGCAGCCACTGGCAGTCTAGTTAGAGGAGAGACCCGGCTGGGGCCCTGTCATGAAGCCACCTGTGCCATTCCCTTAGTGATAACACAAAGAATACATTACAGAAAAACATCTGGAGTTAATCAGTCTAATCTGGAAAATCTAATTCTTGTTCCGTGTAAGAATCAGCCGACCGCAACCGCTGATACTGAAACTTTGAAACTTGCTACGCTTAATGTCAGATCTCTTTGTAACAAGTCTTTTTTAATCAATAATTTTATTTCTTCTCATAATCTTGATGTTAGTGTTCATGGCTGAAACTTGGCTTGACCAAAATTCAGAAAATGCAGTTTTAATAGAAGCATCACCACCAAATTTCAAGTTTGAATCTGAAATACGGGAAAACAAAAAAGGAGGAGGCTTAGCTGCCATTTTTAGAGACCACTTTGTCTCCCATAGAATGTCTCTTGGGAAGTTTTCGTCATTTGAATATGTGTCTTTTAAAATACAACAAAAACAATCTCCTCCAATACTCTTCGTTGTCCTATACAAGCCACCGCAGTCATGTCACAGTTTTATTGATCATTTTACCGAGTTGCTTTCAGTTGTATGCACAGATTTTGATAGTTTGGTTATTACAGGTGATTTTAATATTCATGTGGATAATGTTGATGACAGAAATGCAAATGAGCTGAGTTCTGTACTTGAATCCTTTGATCTCACTCAGCACGTAAGTGGCCCCACCCACAGCAGAGGGCACACTCTAGATCTGTTAGTTACAAGGGGGTGATTATTTCAAATGTAAACGTGGTCGATGTTGCTCTTTCGGATCATTTCTGTGTTTTTTTTGACATGTGTTTCACTAACAAACCACCAGTGGACTCTGCAACTGTTCGAAGAAGGCGCATAAATGAAAATACGAGTGAACTATTTATGGAAATGATAAACTTTGAGAATGCATCGTATTCTACTGTAGATGAACTGTTTAACTCTGTCACCTCTAGTGTTTTGAATGTTCTGGATACCGTTGCCCCTGTGAAGGTTAAAATAGTGAAAAATAAGCAGAAGGCGCCGTGGGCTAAAGCAGACTCGGTCAGGGCACAAAAGAGAAAGTGCCGGAGGGCCGAGCGGAAGTGGCGCAAGTCCAACCTCCAGGTAGATTACGAGATCTTCAAAGATAAGTTGTGCGAGTTTAACCGGGTGCTACGTAGTAAGAGAAAGGTATTTTTCTGAAATGATTGAAGGCTGCAGCAACAATCTGCGTGTTCTGTTCTCAACAGTTAATAGATTAACAAACCCCCCTGTTCAAATGCCATTAGAGCTTACTTCCAAACGTAAATGCAATGAGTTTGCTAATTTT